ATATTACTAATATATAATAATAGTATGGTAATGTTTAATAATAATAATATAATAGTAATAGTAATATAATAATAATAATAATAGATATAATTAATTCACAATAATAAATAAACACGAATAAATGTTTATTTATTATTTGTATATTTATTTTTTATATGCTATTTATTTAGCCAAATTGGTAATTTTAATAACTTAATATAATTAAAACCGCTGCCAAGTTGAAGTATGTATTTTTGTGTTCATTCCATGAACACTTTGCTTCCTCATGCGCATTCACCCTATATTAGGAATAATAAAAGTTTTGGGTATGTTTTGCATAAAAATTAAAAAAAGTTTATCACCAAAAAAAGCTTTCTAATCTAATTATAATGATTTTACAGATACATAAAGATTTTTGAACAAAAAATGCAAACAAGTTTTTATCAATATTATTTATTTTTAAAATGTCAATAACTTTGGATAAAGTAATCGTAAAATGTTCGTTAACAGGTCAAAAGATGCGTCTTGAAAATCTCTACAAAATGAAACTAAAAAAACTGTAGGTGTCATAACATTTTTTTAAAGTTATGAGCAAAAAACGATTTTTTATGATTTTTAAAATGTCAATAACTTTGGATAAAATAATCGTAAACTGTTCGTTAATAGGTCAAAAGATGCGTCTTGAAAATCTCTACAAAATGAGACTAAGAAAACTGTAGGTGTCATAACATTTTTTTAAAGTTATAAGCAAAAAACGATTTTTTATGATTTTTAAAATGTCAATAACTTTGGATAAAATGATAGCAGATTGTTCGTCAATAGCTCAAAAAATGCGTCTTAAAAAACTCTACAAAATTAAGTAAAAACATCCCAACTTTCAAAACATGTGTTTCAAGTTATGGGCAAAAAACGATTTTTCAAAAATTTTAAAAGTCAAAAAAAATATAGTTAATATGTATTAATTTGTCCCAAAGTTTTCTCATTTTATGTCCCCAAGTGAGATCTACAATTTAAAAAAAATTCAGCCCTAAAGCTCTTATAGAATTTGAGATATTTATGAAAATGTAATGTATATACACACACACACACACATACGGAATGACATTTTCTAAAAATGTCATTTTTGGATTCCTGAGGTCAAAAAACATAAAGATATGTCAAAAAAATGAGTTCGAAAAATTTCGCGAAAACAATACTTCCTCCATGAGGAAGCAATTATTGTTAATTATAATGAAATATATTTAAATGATAATTAGTTAATTCAGTTATATTTTATTATAGAAGCTTATAATAAAATATAGTTGAGCTGAATAATTGTATCGGAATTGATTCAAGATTGAATCTAGACTGGACATTCAAGCTTCGCTCATGAAGACTGAACCAGTCTTGAATCAAGCATGGAACGAGCATTGGTGTCCAATAATTCTGTTAATTATAAGTTTTGAAAAAGCGCGAGTTAAAATTATTTTATAAAGAAGTGAAATGGAGGAGCAGGTGTTAATTTTTGGAAATGGTTGCTATACAATCGTGTATAAAACATCAATCATTTTTGATCAGAAAAATCGAGAAGTGACAACTCGTTCGAAAGTGAAGTATTTTTGGCCAGAAAAGGCACTGCACCAAAAAGCTTACATTGGAAACATCATTAAAATTTCAAGTAAGTTTCTTTATTCAAATTAAAAATCTCGTCTTCTTAATTATTTAAACATTAAAAATTTGGTTATGTGCAATCTTTGTATGCCTTGAAGTTGTCTATATGAAAAACACAGAATCGTATCTTTAGATATTTTACATTCAAATTTTTCACTAAATTTATTATTTAAATAAATAATGAAAATAGACGTTACTGTATAAATATTATTGTAGCGGATGAAGATGAATTAATTAAACTACGAGATGAGTTAAAAAAGGAAGATAAGAAGAAAGCAGCCAAGTCAAGAAAGTGTAAAAATGATAAAACTTCCCTTGATGATAAATCAGAAGATTCAGAAAACCAAGAAGTTGAGAAAAAAAAGGTATCTTAATATCAATATATAAATACATTTTTAATAAACAATAATAAAATTATACTATTAATAATAGTAACAATAAATAATTTTTAAATATTTATTTTTTAACGAAAACTAAGATTTTATTAAAATCAATTGAATTTCCTTAAAAAAATTTTCAAAAATATTAAAAGTAATTTTTTAAAATCTAGTTTTATCAACACCTATCAATGGTACTATAATATAGTTTCAGTGTTCTTGAAAAATCTGGTAACTTCTTTAAAACAATTTAAAAGCAATTAATTACTTTTGAAATTATATATCAATATAATAAATAACAATTATATTTTCTTAAATAAATAGAGATATATTTTCTTGTTTTGAAAAAAATAATAGCAAACAAAATTCTTAAAAAAATTTTTTTTTTTAATTATTTAATATTGATGTTTTGTAAAAATGATAAATTTATATAAAATATTAGATAATAATAATAATAATAATAAATATATACCAGAAAATTTCAAGGAATTATTTTATATTTCTAATTAGAAGTTTTCCAAATAATCCATTTTTTATCCATTTTTTGTCCATATCTTACAAAATATTTATAAATTAGCAAAATTTATTTTTTAATTTTTTTCACTCGCGAAACAATGATTATAAAAGAAAATTTACAATTATGTATTTTAATTTTAATGTAAATTTTTTTATGCATTAAATTATATATTTTTTAGAAGGAAGACGAAAAAGTTCGAAGAGAGGCGAATGTACTCAGCGCAAAAAAATTGATGAAAGCATTAAATGAAACCCGACATTCAAATTCGACATCATCTAATTTGTTGAAAAAGGTGGAAAAAACTATAAGGGTGAGGAAAAATTTGACTGGTCTTTTGGAAGAGCTCAAACAAGTAAACCATTTATTAAATGAAGGAATTTATATTTTAAATTTTTTTAGGGATACCGAAACCACATTTTCAGTTTTTAAAAAAATTTTTTAAAACAAAAATAATTTTTTTAATCTACATTTCAGGATGAAAAAAAATTTTTTTATGGGTTAATTGGATTTAAAGAAAAAGATTTTTTATTTAAAACTATTTAAAAATTAATTTGTTAATACCTTTAACAAAAAAATTATGTTGATTATAAAAATTTCATAAATTTATTTTGATAATTCTGGGAATAAAAAATGATTTATCGTTAAAAAATAATTACTTTTTGAAAATTTTAGATGATCAGTTTGAGAAATTCTGACCCTTATTTAGAACAATTGTTATTTAATTTTTATAATACAATATTTATTGGGGTCCAATAATTTTTGTGGTATATCTTAATCATATAACGCTTAATGACTCAAATATTAATTGTTTATTTCAAAAACATATTATTTTGATTATGGTCAAAAATTTAAATGAAAACATTTATTTAAATATACCTACTATTTAAAACTAAATCAGTGAAAACCAGTAGATTTTCACTGGTTTAGTTTTAGAGAGGACATTAAAATTTTTTAATTGATGTCACTCATAGAACACGTTCTTTAAATGACTAGGAATTAGAAGATTTCGAAAAGGAAGGTACATCAGATGATGAGATAGATCTGCTTTTGGAAGAAAAAATCAACTCTTTTTCAACTTCAACAGAGAATCTCAGCATGAATTTCAGCGAACCAGAATCTCCTCACAAGGCATCTTCTTCTAATCAAGGATTCATTGATTCGTCTCGTATTGGAGCACCACCTAAATCAACACTTTTCGCTTCTAATAGAAGAGCGTCTCCCGCTTTGAATCAAATGTCTTCTGATCGGACATCTTTTTCTTCTCTTAAGTCAGCATTACCATGTTCAAATAAAGCGCCTTCTGGATTCGGACTGATTGCTCATTATGGCAGTGACAGCGACAATGGAGAAGAAGTAGCTAAAAATGATTTAAAAGAATCAGATGAAAGAAAAACGACTTCACTGATTGATGGAAATGAGCAGTTATATGTGTTTACAAAAGATACAGCAGGAACAGAGGTATACAATTTAATAACTAGTATAGAATAAATTTCTGCTACTAACTTATATTTTTATTTATATCTTTGCAATTATCACTTTTAATTATAGAATAAAAAAGTTGGGTGGAAAAACCACATGCAATTCGAAATTTGAAAGAAAAATTAAAAATAAATGATTTTATGATTAAAAAGAAAATTTTTGAATGCGTTGTTTTCACTGAATTTACTCTAAAATTAACTCAAGTGGAAATTTTTATTATAGAATATTATAATATTCCATAAAACAGAAACTTCGATTGTTTTTAACATTTTTTGGTAATAGGCCATTGAATTATTGGAAGGAACTGACATTTTCATACCGAAAAAGGCATTAGAAGATGCACAAAAGAAAGCCAACTCACAAACCACATTAGCACGAATGTTAATGTGTTCCATTTTCACAGAAGAGGCCTTAAAAACACACAGCTTAACCGGAAGAGGTCAAGCAGATGAGAGTAAGAAAGGTTTTCCAGGTGCAGCAATTAATTGCATATTAAGTAAGTATACAATTGAAAAACAACGTACGTTCTAGTATTTTTACTTCATAATTTTGAAAAATTTATTGGAAATTCTGCATTTTATAATTAATTCATTTAACGATTTAAATTATTTAATAATTTTATGCAATTTGATTATGTATATCGATTGAAATATTGTAAAAAACTTTTATAGTAAACATAATTTTTAAAGTTTTTATTATTTTATGACTCGTTATTTCAGATTTTACGAGACAGACGGCCAAACTTAAGGTTAAAAACAAGGAGTTGAACTGGAAAGTTGTTGACAACAGGCTAATAAAAAATACCCTGAAAAGCAAATTGTTCGAAATACAAAACAAAAGAGCAATAAGCAAATAATTGCACTTAAATTTCTTTTTATTTTGGATATTGTTTGTTTTTTATTGCATTGAAATCTTTATTTATATTTCATTATCAAATATCTTTTTAAGAAAAGAGTTTACTGAAATATTCTAATAAATTAATAAATAAATGTCTAATGAAATGTACATTGTTTGTTGCACGATCTTTATGTTTATAATTGAATTCCTTGAAAAAGTGAAATAGTAATTATTATCTGATAATTTGTAGTAGAAATTAACCAGAAATTATGTAAACATTGGTATATCGATAAATAATTTTCTGCTGACCAGTGTTCGCCATTCGAATTTAATTTCCTCGAGAATGGTTAAAAATTATTATTTATCATTAAATCATCATAATTATCATTATATTATTAATGATTGCTTAAAGTACTTTCTGATGTTTGATGTACGAATTTTTAAGGTACTTTCATCCGAAAAATTATCCTGAAATTTAGTTGATATCGGTAAGACTATGAATCACTTCCTGTTGATTGATGTTCGCCATAACAATGATTATTTCTCCGAAAAATTGGTCAGATATTATCTGGACATTGGAAAATGGAACAACCATTTCCTGGTGTCAGGTATTAACCTTGTTTAAATTATTTTTTTGGAAAAATGGACCATAAATCATCTGGAAATTGGTAAGTTCCTGAATCACTCCTTGGTGACCAATTTTCACCATTCCAATGTAATGTCCTCGGAAAAATTAGTTATGTATCATTTGGACAACAGGACGTCCATGAACGACTTCGTGGTTTTCAATGTTCACCAAGTCAGAATAATTGCCTTAGGAAAATGTCTAGAAAACATTGGTAAGTCGATCATAAATTGCCATTCCAATTTAATTTTCTAAGAAAAATTGGTGAAAAATTATCGCGACATCGGTTAATCCAACATCAACTTCTTGGTGACCGATGCTCACCATTTCAGGTTCATTTATTCAAAAAATGGGCTAATAATAATCTTTTTGGTTTATTGGACTTAAATAAATTATCTCAATTTTATATTATTATTAGTATTAGTAACGTTAGTAACATTAGTAACGTTAACTTTTCCACCTGGAATATTAAAAACATTAAAATAAAAAGTTTAAAACATTAAAATGTGATTTAAACGATAAAATAATATGTATAATTTATAATATAAAATTATGTATCCAAAAAAAAATTCGATTTTAAAAATTTTATTTGAACGACAAAATTAAAAAAAGCTTTATATTTCTATTAAATTAGAATACTTGCTGAATAAAATTATTATTAAATTATTACAATTTATTACAATCCCTGATTATTCGCTCACTAATAGTTTTTTAATGAACTCCTCTAAGGCGGAATGTGCCAATTGCTTTCTACCTTAAAGGAGTTTGACTGTATTTATAAATATTTGAAATTTATGAAATAGGAAATTATTTCACATTAATTATTACTTTTTCTATAATTCCCAATAGTTACATTATTATATTTTGCTTTTAAAACATTTTTAGTGATCGTTGAATTTTCATCACTTTTCCATTCAAAAAGCGTTGAACCGATCCGCTATGGATCAATATTGATAGCAATATTGCCTAAATATTGCCCGACTATATTGCAAATGACAGACATAATCAATGTTGCAGCAATATTATGGTAATGTGTTATTCGATTGGGGTTAATAAATCTTACTTTCATCATGCACAATTCATCATTTACTAGGGCAAAGATAGCCAAAGATAGAAGGAGAACATTTTTTGGAACGATCATGTTTTCAAAACTTGAAAACTTCAAAATCACAATAATATTATAAATGATTGCGTTTTTATATATTGCTGCAATTATATGATAAAAATATATTTTATTAGTAATTTCCCTTTTTTAACGAAATCAATTGTTTTTTAGAAAAACAGACTCTTAGCAATTTAAAATAATAAATATGTATAATTTACCTGATCTGATTTCAACAGTATATGTAAAAAACAAAACTCAACTGTTGGCAATGAGTTAGAGTCGAGGCTATTTAAAGGCTAGTGCTTTGCATAAAAAAATATAAATTACTTATCAAAGTCATAACTTTTTATTTCATTTTTGTATTTTTTTTTAATGTCCATAACAATGTAATCAATGTTATATCTTTTATAACATTAAAATTGTGAAATTTTTTTATTTACAAAAAAAATAGTTAAAAACATAAAGGGTGTTCTAAAATTTTTCATGGAAAAGTATTTTTTTTATTAAAAAGCTTGTATTTTTGTTAAAAAAAGAGAAAATCATATTATAATAGGTCTACAAAAGCAAAAAGTTAAATTTTAAGATAGAATTAACAGTTTTACAGTTCATTACAAAAAATATATTTTTATCACACATGCTCAAAACAGTCGTGTTTTTGTGTGTGCGAACCCGGTTGAAAGAACTTGTACAGGATCGTGTACATGATCTTTGGCATGATCGTGCACCAATCTTTTTTATTTACCTGGCCATGTACAAGAGCTGCAAGTAAACATGTAAAAATAATTGGACCAACGATCTTGTACAAGATGTTGTTCAAGAATTTGTACAAGAACATGCACATGTTTATTCATGGTAACTAAAGAAATCAAGCTCAAGAGTCCAAGCTCGTGTACTTGTATAAGATCGTGAGTAAATTCATGTACACATGGAAAAAACAAAGTAACTATTTTAGTACGAAACTTTGTTTACCTATCGACAATGGCGGATCCAGTCGTCGCTTCAAGGGGGCCATGGCGGATTTGATTTACCCAATGTCCATGCAGCTGGGTGGATATTGGGTAAACATTGGAATAACGTAAAAAAATTGATAAATCCATACTTTTCTAAAATGTTGTCATTGTTGGTGAAAGTCTAAAAATCAATTATTATTGAATTGGATGAAATAGTTTTTGGATTATAACGTTTTTAATTTTTGACTTTTGAAACAAAAAATTTTTTTCAATGTACAATATTTATAAGCAGAATGCATAAAAGTTAACATATATAATGATTTTTAAAGCTGAAGTTAGCAATTAAAAGTTAATGTAATTCCGCATAAAACGAGTCCTATATGAAGTTTTTTGGATAAATAGATTGTTAATAAACAATTGCAATGTTAACTAATTGTTTATTAACAATCTTGCATATTTTCTATTTGCCAGAAATAAACCTCTACAAAGTTTACGATGTCACTTCTCAATGAAATGAATATAACTTAGAAAAGTTCCAATAACTTTAATCTTCAACAGTTTCTAAGTTCACGTTTAACTTAGAAAGTAACATTATATATTTATGAAAATTTTTCTATTTTCAAAATTTGAAAAAACCACGTCTTTAAGGCATCTTAAAGAAATCAAACGGCCAAGATTTAGAACATTCTTAGGACATCAAATATTCAGATTCTGTAGCTAATTTCTTCTTCTTACGTAAAAAATATTTTTCTTGGTGCATTTTCATTTCATCCTCAGTTTCTGTAGCTAATTTCTTCCTCTTACATGCCAAATTTTTTTCTTTGCATATTTTCTTTTCAATCTCAGTTTCTGTAGAGATTTTTTTTCTCTCATATGCCATACTTTCTTTGCGTATTTTCTTTTCAATCTCAGTTTCTGTAGACATTTTTTTTCTCTTATATGCCAAACTTTCTTTGCGTATCTTCTTTTCATCCTCAATTTCTGTAGAAATTTTCTTCTTTTTGCTTTTCAAATCTCATTTTTGGAGTTCTATTTTTTGTATTTCTGTTTCATTACGATTTCCTTTTGTCAGTCTGTTATGCTCTTGTATAATTATTTTCTGCTCATCATATTTTATTGTACACCCTACTGAAAATTCTCATGTACGATCTTATATAGGATCTCACATAAATTCATATATTAAAATCCACATAAAATCCTATGTGAAATTTAAGAAACTATATAGGATCTTATGAAAAATCATAGGAAATTGAGACATGATTTGAAGTGGAATTCGATGTAAATTCTTTTAAACGTATTCTTAGGTTATAAATTATGTAAATTCCTATGTGAAATCCTACAATTTTTTCAAGTCACTTTTTTTCCTTCAATTTCTTATTGAAAACCACAGTATACCCATTGCTTCTTAAATAAAATTAGGTTTAATATTATTTTCTAATGTCGACATATACGTCCAAAATCACAAAGGTGGTACGACTTTTTTTATTATATGAGCCATCAACTGTCAAGGGGTTACATTTAAAAAAAACCTACAAATATATGAATTTAACCCAATTCAAAAGTAAATAATTGAAAACATACGAAATACTGGTATAAACAGGGCAATATAAACTATTTTGGAATACAGGATTTTTTAAAAACAATTGCAATGTTTGGAAATAGAAAACAATGGTTGGACTTATAAAAAAAAATTCAAGAACACAGTTTTCCTAAAAGTCTCAAATTGAGACCAAAAATTGCATCAAATCTTTGCAACGTTTTGATGCACATAAGTTATATCAAAAAGAGATCGTTTTGTGTATCATTTTTAGAAATTATACACGAAATTAAACGAATTTTTTTCAGATATTTTGGTAATAGTACAATTGCGGAGACCATTTCACTATTTAATTTGAAAATGAAAATAACAGAAAATCAAAGACAATGTGCAATTCGATAATTAAAAAATCGGACAAGTGCGAGTTACACTCGCACTGAAATCGAGGGTTCCGTACTCGAAGCGAACTTATTTGGTATAAAAACAAATGTTTAAAAAATATGTGTTGTATGACAACTAATATAAGTGATACAAAAAGGAACAATTTTGTAAAATTCAAGAAAATTGTTCCTCTTCGTATCATTTATATTAGTTGTCATACAACACATATTTTTTAAACATTTGTTTTTATACCAAATAAGTTCGCTTCGAGTACGGAACCCTCGATTTCAGTGCGAGTGTAACTCGCACTTGTCCGATTTTATTTTTTAAAAAATATTTTACTAAAAAAATATAAGATACATAATTTTATTTCAACTCGCAATATTTTTATTGTATTTACATTTTAAAAATATATTGAATATTAAATTTTATCTTTCTAAGTCAAAAAGAGATAAAACTTAAGATATTGATATAAGGCTAGTAGCTGCTTGTCAAGGAAAAATCGAAAGTTATCTAAAAAATAAAATTTGTTTATTAATTCCAGAAAAATCAACTCCAATCATCCTCGCTATATTTTTTTTGTAATCTACACGTAAAAATACGTCAAAATATATAAATTTGAATCACTGTAGAAAAACTTTTTTCGTTTTTTGCGGAAAAATACATTTTTTTCTGAAATTTATCATTTTTCTTCAAAAATTTGATAAAAATTGAACATCAACTCCAATCGCGCCTACATTTTTTCCCTGTATTTTTCACGCAAAAATTGAGTTTTACAGCAAGTATGAACAGTCTGGATTGAATATTGTGTGCGCTAGGGAGAATAAATCATTTTTTTCGAAATTTTTTATTTTTCCTTGACAACGCTATGTAAATTAACCCGAATCAAGTTCGCTATAATTTTCCTGTAATTTTCACGTAAAAATACGTAAGTGTGTCAAATTTGAGCTCTTTATGTCAAAAGATGTGGCCGCTAGGGGGGGGGTACATACTCATTTTTAGGTATTTTTCGTAAAAATTCATGGTTTTTCCTTGACAACGCTATGATAATCAACTCCAATCATGCTCGCTATATTTTTTTTGTAATCTACACGTAAAAATACGTTAAAATATATAAATTTAATTTCCTTTAAATAAAATTTTGTTCGTTTTTGGTGGAAAAATACATTTTTTTCCTAAAATTGTCATTTTTTCTTGAAAAACTTGATAAAAAGTTAATCATCAACTCTAATCGTGACCGCTTTTTTTCCCCTGTATTTTTCCCGTAAAAATACATTTGTATACTAAATATGATCTGTCTGGGTTGAATATTGTGTGCGCTAGGGAGAATAAATCATTTTTTTCGAAATTTTTTATTTTTCCTTGACAACGCTATGTAAATTAACCCGAATCAAGTTCGCTATAATTTTCCTGTAATTTTCACGTAAAAATACGTAAGTGTGTCAAATTTGAGCTCTTTATGTCAAAAGATGTGGCCGCTAGGGGGGGGTACATACTCATTTTTAGGTATTTTTCGTAAAAATTCATGGTTTTTCCTTGACAACGCTATGATAATCAACTCCAATCATGCTCGCTATATTTTTTTTGTAATCTACACGTAAAAATACGTTAAAATATATAAATTTAATTTCCTTTAAATAAAATTTTGTTCGTTTTTGGTGGAAAAATACATTTTTTTCCTAAAATTGTCATTTTTTCTTGAAAAACTTGATAAAAAGTTAATCATCAACTCTAATCGTGACCGCTTTTTTTCCCCTGTATTTTTCCCGTAAAAATACATTTGTATACTAAATATGATCTGTCTGGGTTGAATATTGTGTGCGCTAGGGAGAATAAATTATTTTTTTCGAAATTTTTGATTTTTCCTTGACAACGCTATGTAAATTGATCCGAATCAAGTTCGCTATAATTTTCCTGTAATTTTTACGTAAAAATACGTAAGTGTGTCAAATTTGAGCTCTTTATGTCAAAAGATGTGGCCGCTAGGGGGGGGGTACATAGTCATTTTTAGGCATTTTTCGTAAAAATTCATGGTTTTTCCTTGACAACGCTATGTTAATCAATTCCAATCAAGTTCGCTATAATTTTCCTGTAATCTACACGCGAAAATACATATGTGTATTAATTTTCAGCCCTCCAGATAAATTTATGTGGCCGCTAGGGGGGGGGGGGTACACGATTTCAAAAAAACCGATATTAATAGGGTTCCGAACCGAGTACGGAACCCTAAAAAGTGACAGCTTATAAACATAACCTAAAATGCATGAGAAAAAATTTGTCGATAAAATCAATATAGCCGACCTTTTTAGAAGGTAGATGGCAGCACTCATCTATTTTCTTTCTTTAAATTTTTTCTGAATCGTTTTTATAAAAAGCAAAAGTGTCAT